AAGATTATTTGTGCTCTATAAACAGTTGTTCACTTCATTTGTCTTAAAAGAATGATGATAACCATTAAAAATATCCATGAAATTCTTACGTAATAGAAATCGCCTGATTTACCCACAACAAAATCATATGATTTTTCAACAAGTCTAAGTCTATGATTCTCTAATATGCCACTTGAATTTCAAATTTCAATGCATGTTGAAAAATTCGATTATCATACATGATACAACAAAATCCCTTAAATTTCAAATGTTGGAATTTAAATAATTATGCATATACAATAGTCAAAATTCTAATCTATTTTGAGTAGGTAAAAGATTACTTGTGCTCTATAAACAGTTGTTCACTTCATTTGTCTTAAAAGAATGATGATAACCACTAAAAATATCCATGGGATTCTTACGTAATAGAAATTACCTGATTTAACCAAAAAAAATCATATGATTTTTCAATAAGTCTAAGTCTATGATTCTCTAATACGCCACTTGAATTTCAAATTTCAATGCATATTGAAAAATTCGATTATCATACATGATACAACAGAATCCCCTAAATTTCAAATGTTGGAATTTTTAGTATATAATACAACCAATCACTTGAATTTCAAATTTTAATGTGTGTTGAAAAATTTTCATAACCTCAGTGCCTCAAAACAAATTATAATGAAACTAATGTTTATAACCCAAAATATATTAAGTATGGACATTAATTATAATAAAACACATCCCTCCCATGTATTAATTCAGAAAGTATTAAGTCTAAACAATAGACTCGAATATTTTCAAATTTTATTTAATACCAATTTTTAATTTGTGTTGATAATTCAATAGGTTTAATTTTGGCAATTAGACTTGAAATTACAATAAACTAATTTATCAATTCTTTATGAATAGGTTAACTATTTAACCTTTCATATTATCATTTATTTTATTTATTAAATACTTTAAATGCATTTTTTATTATATATATTAAAAGCTAATAATTATATTTTGATTTTCATTTATAATATATCAAGTTTAATATTATTTAACAATTTTTATTTGACATCCATATCACATATATAAATTTAAAAATAATTTCATGTAATTTTGTAAGTAATATATAAATTTATGTACCAGACAATATTAGAAATAGAATATGAAATTGTAAAGTATATTATGAAATATAAAAATAGATTTATATACCATTAAATGACTATTTTATTGTAATTTCCATAATATATTTAAAAATATGTAATTA